ACTGTTATTATCATAGAGTGATTTTTGCGAACGAGTTTATCTGCTGAGCTCAAATCCGATCCCTCCACAGTCCCCCCCCCAAAGTAGCCCCAAGTACGACTCTCCTTCAGCTTCAATGTCCAACTTCACTCTTTTCACCGGTAGACATGCAGGAGGATCGCAAAGCTCCGCACTCGTCCATCCCTCCCCTACTAGTAGGATTTGAAGACGAACTGTACACTCACATCCGTGTATCCTGGTCCATGGCGTGTCAGGAGAGAATGGGTTCGGCAGGTGCAGTATGGTGCTATTTTTTCGATCAAAAGTGCTCGGAAACGGGGTTAGATGGTAGCGATATTCGAATGCTGTCTCTATACTCCGTGGGCTGTGCCGCATTGCCGGCCGCACGCCTAATCATGGCCAAACGCGCTATTGTCTGCGGCCTCTCACTCCTGGTTGTTCTCGAGCTACTGTGTCTTTCGCTGCGGGACTTTGGTATCCACGCAAAAGCTGTGTACCGAGGATAATGCGGGAGGGATGCGGAACAAGGGTGTCACCACCACCCTCCAACCTCGTTCCCGTGCACCTCTGAGCGTTAAGTGGCAATTGCAGACCCATTCTTTTCGCACATGGACAGGACCGTTCTCGGATCTGAATGTACAGTTTGTCTTGGAAGGCGGCTCATTGAACGAATGGATATTTGGCTAACTGAAAACTAGTGTATGTATCATTCACATAAAAGTACTTGGATTATTTCAGTTCACATTCCCGATTTCGGCGGCGATGTTCAAGTCATGTCAGAAGTCGTTAGTGCCATTCTGTCCACCACGTCTTACGGTCCAATGTCTGCAACCGGTCTACTGGGCTCGTGTGCCGAACGAAACCCTTCGAACCACAGCGCTAAAGCTCAGTGATATTCGAGGTGCAAAAGCTGTTATGACTTTCATCTTCACATCTCGAGACTTTCTATTTTCTTTCCAATTTTCAGTTATCTCCATAATGTTTTCTGTTGATTCTGAAATGATCGAACCTTTATTCAGGATGGTCAGTCCTATGCGATGATCCCGTGCGTATCATGACGGTCTACGTGCCGGAAAAAGACGAGTCGTTCGACATTCTGGAAATCATTGAAAAACCGGTGTTCCTCGATTTCCACCGACAGACGCTCAATCTGTATTGCAAGCTGGCAAGTCACGGCAATCAAAAGGTAACGTGAAATCTCGGGGCGTACCGTACCTCAGCCCTCTGGGCACAGTTCCAGTTTACGCGGATTATTCATGAGAGTCGGCTCGAATCGACTCGGGTATTACTCGTGAGCTCGAAAGAACTTTCCCAGAAGGGCAGAATTTGGGTTATTGTGTGCGGCTGACCTCTTCCAACTTTTCCTCTTTTCCCAAATTATTATTTTCTATGTATTAATAGTTACTACTA